GCCGGTCCCGCCCCGCGCCCTGCCCGAGCACCGCTGTGCGGGGGGAGCGCCCGCTGCGTTAATACCTGCAATAAACTCCGGGCTGTTTCCATGGGATGGTGCCCCGCACCCTCTGCGCCCCTTTTCGAAATCCTAGCTCTGCTCCGGCAGCTGAGCCGTCAGAAGCGCCCCGGCACACGGCTGCGCTCTGCACGGCCTCCTGGCAGCTGGCACAAATTACAGAAGACACCGTGTTTTGAAACATCTTCATCTGATCAGCCACAAGGCGGTCCACTGGTGACGCAGAGGGGCGCACGCGGATGCACGTGCACCCGAGATTGGCGGTGCACCCCTGAAAGAAGCGCTGCAACGCTGCTCGCCCCCCCCCCCTCACCGCCGCTGTCTGGGCAGTTGCCGATCGCCACTGGCCACCACCACCACTACTAGCAGCGTCCACAGGTGGTCACCAACTGCTGGTGGGCGCTCACCGCCGCCGCCGCCACCAACACCAGCACGGCTGCCTGCAGGAGCTCCCTGCTTGCCCTCACCACACCCCACCGCCGACACCGCCGCCGCCGTGCCCCGCCAGCCTCCGGCGGCACACACCATTCATGAAGCGGTCTGCAGCGATGTACCTGTGTTTTGTCACAGGTATAAATTGCTTTCTATGCCCAGATCAGGCAAAAATTGTCATTTTTGTCTGCACCTGTGGTGTTTTGCATGGTAAGAAACTCCAAGCTTCCCTGTTCTGCTGGGAATGGGACAGAAGACAGCTACAGTCCTTCCAGGAGGTTAGATCACATTTTTTTAAAGGGCTGCCCAAGCTATCTTAGTTCTCCCCGGTGTGGACCTTACACTTAGGATGCAGACAGAAGTGCTGCTCCCAGCTGTGACTCAAAACACTTTGCTGGGGCCAGGCCTCTCTGCCAGTGCTCCTTGTTTTCAGACTGGGGAAGGGGAAAGGCAGCAGAGCTCAGCATTGGGGCTCCCCAGCTGGTGCTGAAGGATGAGGTGGGTGAACTGGAGCTCTCCCCACACCTAGGGGGTTCCAATACACCCACTCCATCCTCTAGTGCAAGGGGCTAAAAAGGCCCCAAACTGAACTCCCTCCCCTCCCTTTCCCCCCTCCCTCTCTGAAAACAGTGACAGGCTTGGAGCTCCCCAGACACAAGTTGCAGAACACACTACATTTTGAAATGTCATGGTCTGATACCTCATGCAATAAGGGGTCAGATTTTCACCCAATCTGCCATTTTTGAAGCTGTTTGCAGCCATGCACTTGTGTTTGGTCACAGCTATAGAGTGCTTTCTGCAGCCACATCAGGCAAAAATTGTCACTTCTGTGTGCACCCGAAGATCCCTAGTTAGGTGCATCTCAGTATTAACTGTACAGCAGTTCAGGAAGGTTAGATCAGCCTAAAAATGGCTGACCGAATCTAAATTAACTGTACTTTGGAGGTAGTTTAACTTAGATCAGGTCTGGCAAGATCAATCTAATTGAACTAATGTACCGTTCCCAGCGCAGTCCTAGAACTGGGAAAACATAGTCCCCAGTCCTGGGGCTGCACTTTTCCTATCGTTCCCCCCACCCCATGCTATATATAGCCCCCTGTCCCTGCACCCCACCCCCCAGACAAACAGCTCCCCTGTGGACCAGCCAACCCCTCCCAGCCCACCAAACCCCCCATTCTGCAAGCCACTCCCAGCGCCAGTTTTACCAGTGTTTGCCAGTGCTAGAAGCCAAGGAAGTAAGTCAGGAGGACAAGTGAAATTTGGGGGTTGGTTCACTGCGGATTTCTAAAAATAGCCCATAGTCCTGAGGGGTGAGGAAAAAAGAGCTCCTGCATCCTCCCAAGCTCTACTGAAGACCCTGCTAGCCCCCGCAATTCCCCCAACTTCCCCATGAACCCCACTTGCCCTCCAATCCCCACCAACCCCCTCCCCCCTGCAGACCCTACTAGCCCCCTGAGCCACCCAAGTCCCCTCCTAGGCTCCCCATCCCAACTTATCTTAGATTGGGTGGTCATTTTTAACTCAATCTAACCTCCCTGAATGTCTGTATGTACCCAGAGCCGTTACCAAAGGTACCAGCCAGAAGCTGAACCTCACTGTTCCATGAAAGCAACACATCTTCCAGCTTGGCAGTGAAATGGGATGTAGTGACAGCTAATTTACTCCAGACCTGACACTGAAAATGCAGAGGAAACAACTGGAAACAATGGACCACATTACGTGATGGAGATTACATGAAGGAGAAAAGATTACATGAAGAGATTTATGCCTACTAGAAATTGTATTAGTAACGTTCAATATGCTTTACAACAAATGAATGAAGATGTGCAATAAAAAAACTCCCTCAAAGCTCTCCAATCTAAAGACAAAATGGTGAAACACTGCAGAAGGTGGGAGGTCTTCACAGCTAAAATGTTTTGCAGGGCAGGTGAATTTTCATAAGCTTATGAAGGACCAGAGCATATAGACCAGAGGGGAAGCTTAGTGACAGTGACCATAAATTGGTCACCTTCTTAGTTCACCAAAGAGCAGGCAAACCCCTCAGTAATACAGAAGTCCTTAACTATGGGACGGTTGACTTTTGCAAACTGAGAGAATTGGTCAGTCAGGCAATTAGAGGCCATACCCCCCCCCCCCCGAAAAGGGAGTACACGAGGAATGGTCATCTCTTAAAAACATCATCCTTGAAGCACAGAGGATAGCCATACCATCTCACAAGAAATGGAGGAAGCCCTCATGGCTGAATAAGGAACTGTTGGACCTCATTAAGCTCAAAAGAGTAGCTTATACCAGCTGGAAAACAGGAAGCATTACCAAAGAGGATTACTCTGCACTCGCCTGCACCTGTACAGAGCAGTCAAGAAAAGCCAAGGCACAAACCAAACTCAGGCTAGCTATGGGAATCAAGGACAACAAAAAGTTCTTCTTCAGATATATGGGAAGTCAGAAAAAGAACAAAGATAGCATTTGGCCCTTGCAAGGTCCAACGGGACAACTGACATCAGATGGCCAAGAAAGGGCCAATCTCCTAAATGACTTCTTTGCATTGTTTTTTCACCCTCCCAGGAGGATCACACTGTCAGGAATGGGTACTAACTAATCTGGGAGTGGGTGACGGGCCCAAAATCAATGTGGATCAGGTGAGGGAACATCTTGAGAAACTGGATATTCACAAGTCTTTGGGCCCAGACGGAATGCACCTGAGTCTTGAAGGAGCTGGCAGACATCATTGCATCCCCCTTGGCAGAGATATTTGAAAATTCGTGGTGCTCGGGCAAGGTCCTGGACAACTAGAAAAGAGCCAACGTGGTCCCTATCTACAAGAAAGGAAGGAGGGATGACCCAGGGAACTATAGACCAATTAATCTGACATAGGTCCCTGGAAAAATCCTGGAGAAAATTGTCAAGGTGTCCATCAACACTATACTAACGGAAGGCAGGCTTCTGAATGCCAGCCAACATGGCTTTATGACTGGTAGGTCTTGCCTGACCAACCTCATCTCCTTCTATGACCAGGTAACACGTGCCCTGGACAAGGGAGATCATGTGGATGTCATATCTGGATTTCAAGAAAGCCTTTGACCTAATTCCCCATGATGTCCTCATGGTTAAGCTGAGGAACTGTGGCCTTGATCATCATATGGTCCGATGGCTAGGCAGTTGGCTATGGGGCCAGACCCATAGAATACTAGTTGAAAGGAGTAAATCAACATGGCGTAGGGTGACCAGTGGAGTCCCTCAAGGCTCAGTACTTGGGCCGGTACTCTTTAACATCCTCATCAATGATCTGGATTTGGGAGTCAGAGGTGAACTGGCCAAGTTCGCGGATGATATCAAATTATGGGGGAGGGCGGTCACACCACAGGACAGGCTATGGAGACAGGCCGACTTGGACACACTCTCAAGGTGGGCTGACCAAAACCTGGTGGCTTTCAATGTAGAGAAGTGTAAGGTGCTGCACCTCAGTAGGAAGAACCCCTAGCATACTTACAGGCTCAGCAGTGCTTTGCTCACTAGCACCATGACCGAAAGGGACTTGCGGGTCTTGATTGACCACAAGATGAATATGAGCCACCAATGTGATGTGGTGGCAGGCAAAGCTAACCCTACTCTGGCATGCATCCACTGATGCATCTCAAGCAAAACCAGGCAAGTCATCCTCCCTCTTTACTTGGCCCTGGTGAGACTGCAGCTGGAGTACTGCATCTTGGGGCCCCCACTTCAGGAAGGATGTGGAGAAGCTTGAGAGAGTCCAGAGGAGAGCCACTTGTATGATCCAAGGCCTGGAGGGAAGGCCGTGTGAAGAGAAGCTGAGGGACTTGGGACTTTTCAGTCTGGAGAAGAGAAGGCTCAGGGGAGACTTGGTGGCAGCCTACAACTACATAAGAGGGGTACATCAGGACCTGGGAGAACAGCTGTTCACCAGAGCTCCCAAAGGGATACCAAGGTCTAACTGCCATAGACTCCAGGAAGGCCAATTTAAACTAGACATAAGAAAAAAGGTCTTTACGGTGCATGTGTCCAGGGTCTGGAACAAACTCCCCCCAGAGGTGGTGCAAGCACCTACTCTGGACTCTTTCAAAAGACAGGTGGATATGTTTCTTGCTGGGTCACTTGATCCCAGCTGACTTCCCGCCTATGGCGGGGTGGGGCTGGACCCGATGATGTCATGAGGTCCCTTCCAGTCCCTAATGTCTATGAAATTTATGAAATTGATAGGCCATCTTTAGGAGCATAAGTAGCGTCGGTGGTACAGTATAGAATTGGGAATAAATATTAAAAGCATTTAAAGTCAGAGAGATTTAGCTATTTCTCAGTCAATCTTGAACATGAGAGCAGATTACTGGACAAAATTAAATGCCTAGTGAGGTTTTCAAAAGTGCCTAAGATATTTGGGATAACTAAGGCCATAACAGGCACATGACTGCACTGGTGGCACTGACAACCAGAAGTTACCCCTACCCTGGAGACCCAGCTGCCCTGGTTAGGCATTTTTATAAATCCTAGTAAGCACCAATTTGCACTTCAGACACACAAATACCATCACTTTTAAGCACTTAGGGAAATTCTATCAACAGTGGGAAAGAAGTGGAAAGGCACTGTAGGCCATTGGGAATGGTTCCTCCCTAGCAGACAGCTGGACTGGCCAGTTCGAAAAAGCCACAGGATAGAAACAAAAATAGAAATAGACGTCCGTAAGTATGGATTTGAGAGTGATAATATATGGCCATAATATAGGATACAGAAATTCTATCACAGCCAGATCTGTACGTGCATGACTCCCAAATTAAACAAAAGAATGTGTAGATTATGCTGACCTCTAACAGCATAAAGATATATTTAATATTCCATGTTATTCACCTTTTTTCAGAGAGGTCAGAAGCAAGTCCTAGCAGAACAGCTGTTCAGACCCTTTCATCTCTGGCCACAGAAACTTCCCACACCATTCCCAGACTGCAGCTTACAAGTTTGACAAGGGACAATGGGGCTACAGAAATGCATTTCACTATCTCACTTGGATTATACATGAACATTTTAACTACACATTGCCATATGCTTTTTCATTGAAAAGTAAAGGTTGGGTGCCCTTGTGATAC